AAGGTCTGATGTGTGCAATGGGAAAGGTCTGCTGGGGGCCATGGGAAAGGTCTGATGTGTGCCATGGGAAAGGTCTGATGTGTGCCATGGGAAAAGTCTGATGTGTGCTATGGGAAAGGTCTGATGTGTGCCATGGGAAAGGTCTTAGGAGTGCTATGGGAAAGGTCTGATGTGTGCCATGGGAAAGGTCTGATGTGTGCCATGGGAAAGGTCTGAGGTGTGCCATGGAAAAAGGTCTAAGGTGTGCTATGGGAAAGGTCTGAGGTGTGCCATGGGAAAGGTCTGATGTGTGCCATGGGAAAGGTCTGAGGTGTGCCATGGAAAAAGGTCTAAGGTGTGCTATGGGAAAGGTCTGAGGTGTGCCATGGGAAAGGTCTGATGTGTGCAGTTTGTGAAATAAGGTTGCTGAGTTTTGTTTTGGGCTACATAAGGGAGGTAACAAATCATTGTTTACAAGACAGTCAAATGTACATTAACAAAAACGTGTTAGTAAAAGAGACTTTGGCACAGTGACCAGGTGAAACCTGACAAGAGACTATGGCACAGTGACCAGGTGAAAGCTGACAATAGACTATAGCACAGTGACCAGGTGAAACCTGACCAGAGACTATGGCACAATAACCAGGTGAAAGCTGACAACAGACTATGGCACAGTGACCAGGTGAAACCTGACAATAGACTATGGCACAGTGACCAAGTGAAAGCTGACAATAGACTTGCCTTCACTATTATATATTACACAATTAATTGTTTGCCCTTTGTTCTACATGCAGCAAAATTCTGTTTGATCAACCAATATTCAGTATTAATAATGAATTTCAAGAGAGATAAGAACATAAATATTGAGGAGGCAGTTGTAAAGTATTGCCTCCCTCCCCCCTTTAATGTTTCTGACACAGATTCGACTTAGTAAATTCTACTTCTAGAGTTAGAAGGAAATAGTGGAACAAGGTGTGTATAAAAAGACCGGACAATAAAAGGAAAACAGTTAGGCCAAAAGTCTTCTTCAGCAGACTAGACCAAAAAAAAAAAAAAAAAAAAAAAAAAAAAAAAAAAAAAAGAAAAAAAAAAGAGAAAAAAAAAAAAAAAGCAACCGCCATGACCATTGTAATTTTTGTCAGTATTTCCTTTTTTTTTT